TTAAAAAAAAAAAAAAACCTTGTTTTTTCTGACCATACTATTTCCCACAGAGCCTAAGAACTTTTCTACATTTTAATATGCTATAGATGCTAAATATATATATAATTTAAAGATTTTAAACTCACGACCCTGAGATCAAGAGTCACTGCTCTACCGATTGAGCCAACCAGACACCCCTATATCCTAAATATGACTCTTTTACTTCAAGTTCAAGCACTCCACAAATATGAAAAGCCTAACAAAATTCTATAGTGATGAAAAACTAATCCCCATGGAGTTTTTCTCTTTCTTTCCAAAATGTCATTTAATCTGAGAAAGAAGAAACAGGAAATAAATATTAAATCCTCCTATCTTCTGGGTATTTACCGATATACTAGGCATGTTAGTGACAAGTTTGGTATCCAGTACTTTTCATACTGGATCCTCATACGATTCTGTGAATTTAAGGTACACGATCTCCATTTTACAAATGGGGAAACTGGCTCAGAGAGGATGTCCTCTGCCCAAGGCATGTGATTAGGGGTAGAACCAGGACTCCTATCTCTGTCTGGACACCAAAGACTGGCCTTAACATTATATAAGTCTCTGAACACACACAAATCAAAAACAGCACACAGCTCCATGACAGGGTCAGAATGGGTAAGAAAACATTTGCTCAACAATGAACACAATATAAAAATATCTTGAAAGACAGGCTATTACCATCTGAACAGCACTGATATACTGCTTCTGTTCCACGTAGATATGCGCTAGGTTCAACCACACATCACTGATATCTGCTGTTGCTTCTCTTACTTGGGCAAATACATCACGAGCTTCACGAAAATACCCTTTGTGGGCCAAAACAGCTCCTAAAATCATAAAAAGGCTTACATTTAAGAATTTTCTAATTGTAGCCAGAAAAACAACTCAAAGTCCTGCTGTTTATTACGTTTGGGGAGCAATTACGATCTACAAACACTCCTTTGAAGGCACTTGTTTCACACTCGACGCCACATCTTATAATCACCTATGCCATTAGCAGCATACAGATTCTTTGCATCGTTTCTGAGTACTTGTTTATAGATGGCCAGAGCACGATCTTGATGCCGCTTCTCCTATAAAAAGAAATAAACGTTATAAAACAAAATTCAAGCAGGAGTCAAGTGTCAGCTTTGTTTTAAAGAGACAAAGAGAAATTACCTTTTCTCGATCTCGAGTGGGCTGATGCAAAGTCTGGAGCCAGACGTTGCCAAGGGCCAGCATAGAGTAAGTATCACTCTGCGTAGATGGTTGCTTTAATATCCTCTCAAATTTCTTCTGTCCTGGACCCCATTCTTGTTTTGCTAAATGAAGATTACCAATCAAAGACCAAGCATCTGGATGGTCCTGAAACACACATGTGTGAAGAATCAAAATCTGTAATTTGGATTCAGAGACATCGATCACTTTTCCATGATAGCTGATTACCGAAGAGGTTTACAAGCTACATTTACAAATTTAGAGTGGAGATGGATGAATGAATTGTAAAATCAATTTAGTGTGTAATTATCAGCATAAGAAATGCAACAGAATGGAATATAGGAAGGTCATCAGTGTACAGCACAAGGCAACAGCACATAAAGATTTCAACACTTTCATTTTAGTTTGTATACACACGTGTGTGTACTAGGCTATGATGTAAAATCTGTTTCTGTGAGACACAATCAAAAAGTTTAGATAACTTCTACACTCTAGTATCTTTCACAAGTAAAAATTAAACAGGGAGATGTCAAGATACTAGAAATATGATAGACATTAAGATGAAAAACTGATTTACTAGGGAAAAAAAAGGTGAGAAAATTGTTTTTCAAACCTAAGAGTTCATACTACCAACCTGATTAATTTGAAGAGCTTCCTTAAACCAATCTGAAGCCTCATAAAAATTTCCTTTATCTCTAGCCATAGCTCCTAGGCGCAAATAGCCTGAAAACATACATTTAAAAGTTTTTATGTTTAAAATATTAGCTATAAAAGATCATAATTTTAAAGTCATACTTTCAAAATGATTGCATTTTATTACATTCATACAGTGAACAGAAAAATCCCACAAGTGAAAAATACTGAGCAGCAAAAAAACAAATTAATAATCTAACAAGTTAAAGAACAACTCTGCCACCATGAAGTCTCACTGCTTGAAATCCAATGATGCCAAAAAGCATTTCTATGAAAAAATTTATCTCTTCCACTCTATTTCCAAGGCTAGCACCCCGGTCCAAGTCCTCATCTCCACCAAAGTTACTTAAGAAGCTGGGAGCAGTTCTGTTTCCAGTTTCTCTCTGATGCACAGCACTGTCACTTTTTCTTAAAAAGCTGCTTGTCATATGGCAAAACAGTGAAAGCACAGACTACTAGGGATTACTAGTTAGAAAATCTGGGCTCTAACTCCACTTAAAGAACAGTAAGAAAGTGTCACACAAATATAAGTTATTTTCTCCAGAAAATGTCACTCTCCTCAGGCAACGAACAATGGCTTACTATTGCCTATCAAACCAATTCAAGTTCAGCCTGGCATTCAATTAAAACCTTATTTCTTTTTTAAATCACTTTTGCATCCATAACAGCATGAGCAAGGCCAAGTTAATAGCTCCTGATCTAGGG